TTTTCAAATGATCTTTTTTTTTTTTTTCTTCCGCTAAAATAGAAGGGAGAACACTAGACACTTTTAGCATCTAGCACATTCCAGTATATTTGGTACAAAGTGGAGGGGGTAGGGGGCTACTGACTTTCTCACTTAGCTTTACAGAATATAAACAAGATTTACTTTTATCTCTTGACTAAGACCTTACACATATTTTGAATTTTTAAAATTATACTTTGAAAAAAAAATTATACTTTGGTATATTAACACCAGACTATATAAAAACAAAAGGTTGTTTCCCAGGAAAAATGGCCCTAAAAGATAAAACTGTCTTCCTTTATCATATTTTAGCTATATGGAATCTTCCCCTAAAAGAGCATGCAGTCTTAACTGGGGGACCATATAATTTTTCCTCCAAACCAGGATACTCTTGAGCTTGAAAGGGGGAACAATAATTATCCTGGGATAACAGCCAGACAAACCGAGTCAACTACCCTAATAAGTCATCACTTATTAGACAGTTGTATCATTCAAAACATGGGTGCCAGATTTACTCAAATCTTGCTTTAAGAGGTTTTGAGTCCCTTGGATAAAAGCACAATAGAATCACTTTTCTTGGTTTCTAACATAACATTTGGTCAAAGCTTCAAAAAGACCAAATTAACTTACGGAAAAATACTTTGTAAAAAAAGCAAAGTTTAAAAATTATTGCCTCAAAGCTTGCCTAGACTCCCCAAAGTCCTATTTCCCCAGGCTCCCATAACAGGTGGCTTATGTCTCCTTTTAACCTCCTTTCATTCTGATTTATTACTATTAAACTATAATACGCTTTAGGAGAGGCATGATCTTACTATGTACTAGTCCTATGCCCATACAAAATCAAAGCTACTGAATGTGGAGAATCTATACTTTATACCCAAGGTGTAGTAAAAAGAGATTCAGTACTCTGGGCTAAATATTTATACTGAAAAAAAATCAACCTTTCAAAACCCTTGGTAACCAGGTTCATTCATCTTCACAGAAAAGTTCTATCAAGGTGATTTAAATTGTTTCTGTAACAGTAATAAGACTTTCTGGCTATAAAGTTTCGTCCCTAAAATCGGGTTTTAGGGTTTCTACTCTTACATTCACAGTATGAACTATGGGGGAAAAATTGCTAAGGCCCATTACTCATGTCCTAGATATGTACCAAAACGTATCTCATTGGTTCCGCATCTTTTATCCTTTTGTTGGTCCATACTTTATGGGCCTTTTTGTTCAGGCTTTCCAAGCAGCTGTGGTATAAAAAAGAGAAAGAAAACAACCTCAAATAGTTTAGTCTCTTCCTCTCACGTATTCTCTTACAAGACAGATGATGTCTTACAGTTGCTGCAGCCCCTGACAAAATATACCTGTGCTCTCAAGTCAAATAATCAAGTATCAACTAAGTTTGGGACACTATGTTAAGAACTATAGTAGGGGCTTCTCTGGTGGCACAGTGGTTAAGAATCCACCTGCCAACGCAGGGGACACGGGTTTGAGCCCTGGTCCGGGAAGATCCCACATGCTGCAGAGCAACTAAGCCTGTGTGCCACAACTACTGAGCCTGCGAGTCACAACTACTGAGCCCACGTGCCACAACTACTGAAGCCTGCGCACCTAGAGGCTGTGCTCCGCAACAAGAGAAGCCACCACAATGAGAAGCCCCTGCTCGCCACAACTAGAGAAAGCCTGCATGCAGCAACTAAGACCCAATGCAGCCAAAAATAAATAAAAATAAATAAATTTATTAAAAAAAAAAAGAACTAGAGTGGGCTTCGTCCATTATGAGGGAACAATGTTGACAACTATAGTTAATATAAGGCAACAGTTCTCAAACTTCAGTGGGTATCAAAATCACTTGGAGGGCTTATTAAAACAAAGATTGTAGGGCATCTCGCCCCTGAGTTTCTGATTCAGCAGTAAGGCCCAAGAATCTGCATTTTTCTCATGTTCCCAAGTGACGCTGATGCTGCTGGTCTGGAGATCACACTCTGAGAACAACTGGTATGACACGCAGTTTAAGTGCTGGGAGGAAAGGAGGTTATAAGAAAACATAAGAACTTAATCCTAGGCAGAGGTTAGGAGAAGGCTTCAAAAAGAAAATGACCCTTGGGTTTAAACATTTGACATTCCTTAAAATAACATCAGAAGAATAGTATTATTGGAATTTTAGAACTGTTCCATACAAGACTAGCCCCTTACACAATTTTTAGAAGGTAAAATTTCCTTAGCATAATTCTGCCATCCTACCATCTTTTCAACAAACTTTTAAGAAGTTTCCATTTTCTTACCTATCTATTCATTAAGCCTTGCCAAGCAATACTAACAATGGTTTGCAAACTTGGACTTACAATTTACATCTTAGATGCCAGCACCAGTAAGGGCATGAGGGGCTATTTGTTGCTGAGTCCCAGGGAAAGAAATTACCTAGAAGTCAAGGAAAAACACAGAGAACAGATTGCTCGAGTACACTGGCAACTATTACAGGCAACGTGGATTACACAGCTATATAATATTTACATATTAGGACACAGAATGAATTTAAAGACAAAATTAAAAAGTCACTACTGTTTTGTTTTTGTTTTTTGTTTGTTTGTTTGTTTTTTTGCGGTACGCGGGCCTCTCACTGTTGTGGCCTCTCCCGTTGCGGAGCACAGGCTCCGGACGCGCAGGCTCAGCGGCCACGGCTCACGGGCCCAGCCGCTCCGCGGCATGCAGGATCCTCCCGGACCAGGGCACGAACCCGTGTCCCCTGCATCGGCAGGTGGACTCTCAACCACTGCACCACCAGGGAGGCCCCACTTCATTTATCCTGTATCATCCTGTGTTTGTGGAGAGGGTTGCTGACTATTCTTGGCAAACTCCCATTAATGACCCTTTTTTAAACATAAATTTATTTTCAGTGGCTCCCTGGTGGGAACACCTCTCCCTGCTACTTTGCCTGAAAAATTGTAACCAGCCCCAACTTCTCACCCTCCTCTACAGCAATACTTCCCAATCTAACCTCACCAATAAGAACATCTATTATGTTCCCCCATAGATCTCTTTTTGAAATATTTTGCAACTCATTTATTGAATAATTTTCCTATTTTTAAATTATACACTTAACAACCAATCAGAAATCATAATTAGATGAGGGAACCAGGACTTAGTTGATAAAATTTAAGCCAAAAACAAAGAAATTTAATGTTTTAGTCTTCTGATGGGCAAAAGTTTAAGTTTTATCAGGCTTTCTGAAACACTGAAAATCTCTAAAGAATCTGAAAGACTACTGGGATTCCTTCAGTCCTAAAAACTGAGAAAACTCATCTTCTAACAAAGTTGGTTTGTTTTTTTTCAGTCATTAGCATACAGATGTCTCTTTACTCATTAGTTCAGTCTTTATTTTTAACTAATAACTCTAAAAATATAATTTATAATTTAGGGATAAATGCAAGCATATCCAGAGATAGAACCAGCAAAGATCAGATTCAGTTTAGGGTATTAATCCCAACTAGCTCTTAGAATGACCCTGTGTAAATGCCTTGGTCTCTCTCTCTTTTTTTTTTTTTTTTTTTTTCCTTTTCAAATACATTCAACCTGGCTGGAAAATCAGTCTGAAAGAAAGCTCAGCAGGGATATCAGATAAAGCAGGAACTTTCTGGGATGGAAAGGAATGAACAAAGCATTTAAGAATAGAAAGAATAGATGTGTGATGCATTTTTATTTTAATATCTCTACCATTGAAAGACAGGTTTGGTTCTTTTGTTTGTTTGTTTGAAAGTCAGTGGGCTCATTCACTGGTGGTAAATGGAACAACTTTATCAGTTGAGGATCGCGTCACCCTGACAAGGTATTACTGAATGCACTGAAGCCTGACTTTGGATTCTGGTTTGGTACCCACTCCCCGTCCTCTCAAGCTCTTAGCTCTTTCTTCCCCAGAAGTTTCAACCTGCAGGTATCTGAATGAAAAGTTCGGATGGGTCACAGAAACAGTGTCAACAATTTCACCAGATTACCTCAATTTAAAGCCTGAAAAATCGGGCTTCCCTGGTGGCACAGTGGTTAAGAATCCGCCTGCCAGTGCAGGGGACACGGGTTCGAGCCCTGGTCCAGGAAGATCCCACATGCCATGGAGCAACTAAGCCCGTGAGCCACAACTACTGAGCCTGCGCCCTAGAGCCCGCGAGCCATAACTACCAAAGCCCATGCACCTAGAGCCTGTGCTCCGCAACAAGAGAAGCCACTGCAATCAGAAGCCCTCGCACTGCAACAAAGAGCAGCCCACCACTCGCCGCAACTAGAGAAAGCCCGCGTGCAGCAATGAAGACCCAACACAGCCAAAAAAAAAAAGAATAAATAAAGCCTGAAAAATCACATTTCATTTCAAGTCACAGTGGCCCCACTAATTCTGCATGAATAATGTTGTGATAAATCCAGAGGTTTAAGGTTTAGGATTTCGTAAAGATTATGTTAAGATACTCCTAACAATCTGAAACTGATTCACCAAAACAGCAGCTTTTCCTAAAATGCTTTGTGCTAAGCTTGTAAGGAAGCTTTCATTCTTAGCAATCTTCTTTCAAGAAGCACTTTAATAGCTTGCTCCTCCTTCACAGGAATCATCTAGGCCACCCAGGTGAAGAATAGCTTTTGTAAGTTCAAAACAGTGCCTAGGTCAGTGGTTCTCAACCCTGACTGCACATTAGATCATCTGGGTAGATTTTTTAAAATAACTATGCCCAACCCTTTAATTGGTCTGGGAGGGGAACGTGGCACAATATGTTTTAAAAGCTCCCCAGATGATTCTAATGTGCAGGCAAGATTAAGAACCAGAAGGCGGCCTTCCCTGGTGGCGCAGTGGTTAACAATCCGCCTGCCAATGCAGGGGACGTGGGTTCGAGCCCTGGTCTGGGAAGATCCCACATGCCGCAGAGTAACTAAGCCTGTGCGCCACAACTACTGAGCCTGTACTCTAGAGCTCACGTGCTACAACTACTGAAACCCGCGTGCCTAGAGCCCGGGCTCCACAACAAGAGAAGCCACCGCAATGATGAAGGCCACGCACTGCAACGCAATGATGAAGGCCACGCACTGCAAAGAAAAGTATCCCCCGCTTGACGCAACTAAAGCCCGCGTGCGGCAATTAAGACCCAATGCAACCAAAAATAAATAAATAAATTTGTTAACAAAAAAAAAAACAGTAGCCTGCAACAAGCAGGCTCGGACTCTGCTTGCATCAACACATTTCTTTTTAGGGTCTTAATATGAACCAAAGCCTGTGAAGCACACTCTATTCAGCCCAAGGGATGATAATTAAACAAAAAACAGGACTTCCCTGGCGGTCCAGTGGTCAAGACTCCGTGTTTCCAGTGCAGGGTGCTTGGGTTCCATCCCGGGACAGGAAACTAAGATCCTGCAAGCCGCGTGGTGCGGACAAAAAAAACCAAAAAAACCCGATAACGATGTTTACATATTATTCATGTAAAGATAAAATGTCCCACGACCATTTTCACTGAAGCCACATTACGTTCATGCTGTCAGGATAAGTTCTCCTAAATCATATTTAGGCTCCAGAAACCACTGAAATGTTCTAAAACCCCCAATATTTCAGCACCCAGACTGAGCTCCCAGACTGCCTACCTTGAGCAATACAAAAATTTGTCATATCACATCTTTTACTTCTTGGTTTTGAAAACTATTATTACCAGATCTACCTGTAGTGTCAATCTCTTCCTTTTTTCTGTCTAATCTTCAAAGGCCACATGTCCTTTTTCTCAAAGCCTTCCCCAGGTGACTCTGGGCCCCACTGATTTCCTCCTAATATGAATTTACAGTCTCAACAACTTTTTTGGCATCTGTTACACTACCATTTAACCTTTCACTTTGGGGCCTATTTTCCTAGCACCTTGGAGACAAGAACTACCGCTTGCACCTGTTTTTTTTTTTTTTTTGGGGGGGGTATCACATTTTCCAGAACAAAGGCTCACAATATATGTTTCGTTTTCCACTATCAAATTATAACTTTCTGGCCCTTTTTACCTCGAGCTCTCTCCTCAACTCTAAAACTCGCTTTAATCTGACTAGGGCATCCATCCCACCACGCATTCTCAGATAAACCATTATCAACTTTTGAATTTTGAAATTCTGCCTACAATGCGTGCTAAACAAAAACAACTAGATTCCCGTCCTTGGTGATTCGCTTTGGGGGGTTGGGGTGGGTGGGAGAGGCGCCTGTTGTGTCTGCTTATCTCCTTTTCAATTTTCCTCTTCCTTCCAGTCAAAATCTAAATTATCTTTCTCTCTGGACAACTTCCACAAACAAGGCTTCGTTCTCACCAGTACCCATAGATGGACCCCTAATGAGTCCCGCCCCTCCTCGAGCGCCCATGTCTCAGCACTCGTTCTCCTTTGTAAGATGGCCACCCCAGAGCCCGGCAGGGCAGCGCGAGTTCCATGCACGCAAGGTCACGGTCATTCCGGGGGCCAGAGGACGACGGCCCGAGGTGGGGGGCAGGGGTGGGAGAGCCGAGGAGGCCCTCGGCACAGCCCGCGCCTCGCTCGGTCAGAGTCCAATCTCCGTCACCGGAAGTGGGGGCCCCACCCCCACCCCCTAACGTCAGGGGCCGGAAGTGAGCGTTGCTGGGCGCGGGTGTGGGGTGAAGGCGAGTGTGAGCGGGAGTGAGACTCGGCCGAGGTAGGAATGACGCGCGGGCCCCGGCTTGGGGTCCCCAAAGACCTCACCTTTAGTGGGCTGGGATACCTTCACCTTCTAGGATCTTCCCTTTTCTGCCCAGAGCTTTCGGCCTCGTGGGTTCTCAGCGCGGCTGTTTTGGCAACCTGTGGTGCCGCCGCTGCTTCGTCCCCTCGAGGTCCTCCCTAGCTCCTGTGTCTCCATTCTTTTAAGTTAACCATCTTCCCCACCTTCTCTTTTTTAGTCCCATTGTTTAAATCGACTCTGTTTTGTTTAAAGGAAGGAAAATGATGGTTTTACCGAGACCCCAGCTCGGTTAAGAGTGTAACCAGTTGCTTCAGGCTGCAACCAGCCCCCAAGCCTGACTGTTGAGTGTCATTTGTCCATTACACCGCTGTCTAGTACTAGGGAAAACGTAAAAGACTCACTTGTTAACAGTTTAATACGGAAGATACTTAGATGGACAGGGCTGAATGATGAGGCTATAGATTCCAGTGTCCTTAATCTTGTGTAATTTAGTCTTTTTGCCCCCAAAGGATAGGGTGGCTCCCTACAAGTTGCTGAATCTGGCACTGATCGCTCCTTTAAATGACTTAAAATCAAGGAACATAGTGCTTGATTCTTTCTTCCAATTCTCTTTTTTTGTTGTTGAAAAAGTATAAAGTAACTATGTGTAACATGTCAAAAGGAATGTCAGAATTTCTTAATCCAGACATGAAAAATATTTTTTATGACAGTTTCACCGATGATTGTCATTTACAAATGAGCTCTGCAGCAAATTACTGAAGGAGTTCCAGCTGATCACTTGTATTTCCTATCATAGGTTCCAAGGCTGCTTATGTCATAGAATGGAGGGAAGGGGTGTGGAATTGTATGAGGCGGCAAAGGAGAGCTGGCTCTAGAGGCAATAGATGTAAACCTAGCCAGTTTTCAGAAGTTTCCTATGGAGATGGTTTTATATAAATTTAGTCTTTTCTATAATGATAAGTTTATTTAATCACAGAGCTCAATAGGGGGGAATCTCAGGTGGAAGAGGACTGAAACTAAAAAAAAATTTGTCTTTTAATCTTCCACATTTCTGTTACAGACTTGTTCTTTTATGACTGTCAACTATAAAATGGACAGTTCTCGAGTCCTAACATTCAGAAGTTTTTCCTCAATGCATAGAGGGAATGAGTATTAACTGGAGAGATTTAAATAACCAAGTCTATCCATTTTAGCATAGGAGATTTGGGGAGGGGGTAAAGCATCACTGGAAAAAGTATGGTACTTCCTAATCATGTTTAAGAAAAGTCATAGAAGTAGTAAACTAGAATGTCTCTGGACATATTGGATGGATTGAGTGTATAGTCTGACACAGGCTTCCAGCATCCCCAGGTCCCCGGGGGAGAAGCAAGACTGGCAGCCTGCCCATCCTGTATTTTTGATGACTTGAGAGGAGAGCTTTAACATAGTACCCTTTTCCTTTGTTTATCCTGAAGTTTAAATAACAGTATTCTTGTGGGCTTGACTTGCCCCCTCTAATGTTAAATAGCATCAAACCCTAATAGATGGTAAACAGTGACAGGGTGTTGTAATGGCACTTAAAATAGACTGACATCTTATCACCTGAATGCAGTTTAAGTTAGTAGTCATATTTGGTTTTTCTTAATTGTGAGCCCTAGAATTTATTTCAAGAGTGTGAATTGGGCAAATGATGTTAAAATGGTTCAAAGTAGTAAAGAATGCCTTCAAGGGGAGAAACTTATTGAGGGGGAGGGAGGTGCTATAAGGGCTTTTTATATTGAACTTGGGTGACTTCAATTCTAGTTTGAATCCAAGTTTGACTCCACTTCTTAGGGCTACTTTTGATACATTTCATTTCTGATTCCCTGATCCACTGCTTTTTTTTCCCCCCACCAGCACTTGGATTTGGCTCCTTCATTTCCAACATGGAAGAAACTTACAGTACGTACTTCTTTTTGCTTTTAGAAAATAAGTTAAATTACTTACATGTAGTTTTTTGTCTGACAAGACTTTTACTGTGTTGGGAAAGATTCACTCTTCTCACTATACGGCTGAGAAGAAAATGTCTCCCCAGAGACTGTTTTAGTAATGTAGAGAAATGTCCAAATTTGAAATACGACACTTGAAATTTAAATAAAGAAGTATGAGAAGTCATCAAGCTTTGAGAAAGCTGTGGTTGGGACACCTGTGTTAAACTATATTTTTATTAAATGAAGCATTTTCATTCCTCAGGACTTCAGTTTCTCCTGTTAATGACACAGGGATAGTCATTAACTAACTGGTTTCTTTCTGTTTTGTGGGATAATATGTTATACATAATGTTGATGTACACTGAGTTTTTAGACTTAAAGAAATCCTAGGGAGGATTCTTGTTTCTCAAGTGATCCAGGAATCTAGATGGCCCAACAAATCAAATGGGAACCAGGAGACCTAGGATCATACAAGTGTAGCACCAAAAGAGACCTGAAAAATCATTTCATTCAACATTCGAATTTTACAACTGAGAAAACAGAACCTAGATTAATTGATTTGCCTTAAAGTTACATAGGTAGTTGGGGACAGAGTCAGAACCAGAGTCTTATATGTTGTTTATATGTAGTGCCCTACTTGCTACTACAAAGCACTATGGTTTCTAGACCCTGACCAAGTTTGAGGGACATCTGAGTGGATAAAACTCGTCAACAAGGCCTCCTTTGTTTCCTAGTTTCTGTCTTGTTCAGAATCTCTATAATTAATAAGTTCTAACTAAAGGGTATTTTAGTCACATTCTACCTTCAAGGAAGAGTCCAATAGAATCTTTATCACCAACATGTAGAAACTACATGGAAACAATCTTTATTAAATATCTACAATAGAAATTCTTAAACTTTAGCATGCAGCAGAATCACCTGGGAGGCTTGTTAAAACACAGGTTGCTGGACCCCACCCCCAAAATTTTTGATTCAGAAGGTCTGGGACCCAAGAATTTGCATTTCTAACATGTTCCCAGGTGATGATGCTAATCTGAGGACCATACTTTGAGAATAATGGATCTGATTCTCCTGATCTTCCTTAGGGCTTCCTCCTTCACCCCCTTAATTTTTCTAAAAATGTGTTAATTAAAATCTGAGATTTCCATGTGAGATAGATATGAGAGATTTATATTTATTTATTCTTGGAAGCTTACTACTCTATTAAATTAGAAAGCAACATCTCCCCTTTATATCTCTATTCATTACTTTTGTCAGTGGTGATTTTTTTTTTCTTAGAAAAATATCACCTGGTTCTTTTAATTACTGTATTGCTACATAACAGACTTTTTTACGTAGTGATAATCAGTAGATGTTTGTTAAAGAAAGAAGGAAATGGTGAATTTTGCTGTATGTTTACAATTTTATTTAAGTTTTGTGATTAAGTCTAATAAATAAGTTGGCTTGTGAAGAATCAACTCCTTTAAGTCTATAGCATTTCTTTATCTATGTCTTTCTTAATAAAGCTTCATTGTTTTAAGACTTAAAAAAAAGAAAACTATCACCTGGAAGTAGGTTAGAAATGCACAACCTCAGGCCTCATCTCAAACCTGCTGAATCAGAATCTGTATTTTAACACAGTCCCCAAGTGATTTAACACCGGGAATCATGTTAAAGTGAGAAACAGTGCTTTAGAATATGTTTGACCTTTTTCCCAAAGTGACCTAAAACTCTAACGTTAATCTGATAGATTCCTGAAGATCTCCA